TCAGAACTCACACATGCACCCCACACATAACCACAAAGTACAGGAAAAACACCCAGTCTTAGATACCCTGCCACAGCCACAACAACATTTAGAGTCAGTGGCATAAACTTCAACCTCACAGTTCTAGAGAAATCTCCCTCATACCACATACACACATGTGCACATATACTTGTACACATGCATGCCTTGTATAAAGTTTAATCATGTGCTTGGGCAAATAATTCAAAGCCTGCCTAAGGATTCAAACACAGCTCTTGAGAGTTACAAAATAAATTTTACAACAGTGAAACATTTTGGTTTCTGGTTTTTGCTCTGATTGTGGTATAGGGGACTGAACCTAGGGCCTTATTGCATACTAGATGAGCACTCTACCACTGTGCCACACCCCCAGCAAAACAGTGAAACATATTGGAAAACTTATTTCTTCTCTTACATGAAACACAAACTTCAGAAGGCAACAGGATGGGATGACCAAGCTGTGCTGCCATGCGCCTCACTGTTTTTATTACAGTAAGTATGAGGATGTGAAAACACATTGGTAAAATCTAGGCAACACTATTTCCCTAGCATGGTTTCAGGAGGCAAAAGGACTAACTTTAAGCTACACAAAGCCAAATGCTAATTACCTAAGTTATTTTAAAACATTTTTACACAGTTCAAAGATAGCAATGCTCAAATCAGATTTTGTAGTTAAATGGTTTCTGCAAATTTCTATTTACAGAGTATTAAAGGCTGAGTATTTGTATAGAGTATCCCCATAACAGAATTTCACCTGCAATGGCATATCATCAATGGTGTGCTGGTTAAAACAGTCATTATGGCCAGGCGTGGTGGCACATACCTATAATAATAGCACTTGAGAGGCTGAGGCAGGAGGATCGCTGTGGGTTCAAGGCCAGCCTGGGCTTATAGTGAGGTCAAGGCTGTCCTGAATTACAAAGTGAGACTCTGTCTCAAAAAAACCAAAACAATGCCTGCTGGCTCCCAGAGGGTGGGCCCCCAGTGCACGGGGAGCCTCGGGCGGGGAGCGCCGGTTTTTTGGGTCTTTGGACCGGCGACTCACTCCCGGCCT